GACTCTACACATTCATGTTCCTGCATGCAAGCACCACGTCATATTCTTAATACTCAAAGACATTGGTTGATTTAGACTCAGAAGCAGAGTTCCCAGACTCTTAGAGATCCATCATTTGCTAACCTGCTTTCCCAGATTGAAGTCCTCCCATCCCTACTACCATGACCACGATGGGATCTTTCTTACAGATCCATCCTCAATTTTCTATTCTGCTTTCCTAGACTGAAGTCCTCCCATCCCTCTATCTACCATGTCCACGATGGGATCTTTCGTACAGATCCATCCTCAATTTTCTATCCTGCTTTCCCAGATTGAAGTCCTCCTATCCCTACTACCATGACCACGATGGAATCTTTCTTACAGATCCATCCTCAATTTTCTATCCTGCTTTCCTAGATTGAAGTTTTCCCATCCCTTCTACCATGACCACGATGGGATCTTTCTTACAGATCCATCCTCAATTTTCTATCCTGCTTTCCTAGATTGAAGTTCTCCCATCCCTTCTACCATGACCACGATGGGATCTTTCTTACAGATCCATCCTCAATTTTCTATCCTGCTTTCCCAGATTGAAGTCCTCCCATCCCTATTACCATGACCACGATGGAATCTTTCTTACAGATCCATCCTCAATTTTCTATCCTGATTTCCTAGATTGAAGTCCTCCCATCCCTTCTACCATGACCACGATGGAATCTTTCTTACAGATCCATCCTCAATTTTCTATCCTGCTTTCCTATCCCTTTACCATGACCACGAGATCTTTCTTACAGATCCATCCTCAATTTTCTATCCTGCTTTCCTAGATTGAAGTCCTCCCATCCCTACTACCGATGATCTTTCCATCCGAATGGAAGTCCTCCCATCTTTACCATTACAGATCCATCCTCAATTTTCTATCCTGCTTTCCCAGATTGAAGCTTATCCCCTAGACCATGATGATCTTTCTTACAGATCCATCCTCAATTTTCTATCTGCTTTCCTAGATTGAAGTTTTCCCATCCCTTCTACCATGACCACGATGGGATCTTTCTTACAGATCCATCCTCAATTTTCTATCCTGCTTTCCTAGATTGAAGTCCTCCCATCCCTACTACCATGACCACGATGGGATCTTTCTTACAGATCCATCCTCAATTTTCTATCCTGCTTTCCCAGATTGAAGTCCTCCCATCCCTATTACCATGACCACGATGGAATCTTTCTTACAGATCCATCCTCAATTTTCTATCCTGATTTCCTAGATTGAAGTCCTCCCATCCCTTCTACCATGACCACGATGGAATCTTTCTTACAGATCCATCCTCAATTTTCTATCCTACTTTCCCAGATTGAAGTCCTCCCATCCCTACTACCATGACCACGATGGATCTTTCTTACAGATCCATCCTCAATTTTCTATTCTGCTTTCCTAGATTGAAGTCCTCCCATTCCTTCTACCATGACCACGATGGGATCTTTCTTACAGATCCATCCTCAATTTTCTATCCTGCTTTCCCAGATTGAAGTCCTCCCATCCCTATTACCATGACCACGATGGAATCTTTCTTACAGATCCATCCTCAATTTTCTATCCTGCTTTCCTAGATTGAAGTCCTCCCATCCCTATTACCATGACCACGATGGGATCTTTCTTACAGATCCATCCTCAATTTTCTATCCTGCTTTCCCAGATTGAAGTCCTCCCATCCCTACTACCATGACCACGATGGGATCTTTCTTACAGATCCATCCTCAATTTTCTTACCTGCTTTCCCAGATTGAAGTCCTCCCATCCCTACTACCATGACCACGATGGGATCTTTGGTGCCCTTCTAACCTTACTTATCTGTGGTTCCATGCTTGACATGTTTACTGGACCTGTTACTAAGGTCTACCATGGGAAGACTTATGAGGCTCCACAGATTTCTTTAGAAAAAAATCAACAAGGCTATAATTTCTGTGAACAATAATGGTTACATCAGAAAGAATCTAACCGATTCAAGAAAAATACTCAGTGGAACTTTAGAAGGATTTGCCACGCATATACTCTCTCACACTTTAATGACGTTGATAAATTGACCTATAACAGCCTGCACATGCTTCCAAATCTGCCTGCATCCTGGCCAGGTCATGGGTAAAATACTACTTTTTTGAAGGGATTTTTGTTCTGGCCACAAGCCCTCCCAAGCTAAATAAATGTAAGAGACACCAAAGCACTCTATCATGATTTTCCCCTTTCTGTTATCGTAAAATTCTCTGCCAGGTCTGATTTTGGCAGGAGCTTCTAACTATGTGACAAATGTATAAATGTTTTTTTAGCCATCATCAAACACTTAACACAGCTGCAGGCATAAAACAGGGAGAAGACGCAGCGGTCCCATTGTGTTCTCATCTGTATCGTTTCACAGACTCTTACGAAACATTAGACCCTTTCTCACGTTCGGCCGTCGTCTCTATCAATTCATCCATTGTCTTTTCAGTCATCACCTATTTCAGAGGAACAACGAGGGAGGGAGATAGTATAGAGACAAGACTAGACAGGACGAATCCGGAGGGATTAGAAGGGCTTTCTGGCCATTTTTTGGTCCTCTTTACACGGGCCTCTCCTAGGTGGTGTTCCAAAACTGGCATAATTGGTACACAATTCATTTTGTAACTTAAAGCTGAACTTCAGGCTCACTGATAAATACACAGATGAAATACATACTGTATATGGGAGATGTTCTATTATTATTATTATTATACAGGATTTATATGGCACCAACAGTTTGCTCAACGCTTTACGTGACAATACAGCAACAATACAGTTCAATACAAGAGGGTTAGGAGGGCCTGATCCTGGGAGCTTACAATCTAAGAGGGAGGGGCGGGTGGTACAAAAGGTAATAACTGTGGGGGATGGACTGGTAGGAGGAGTAGAAGATTCCATTATTAGCTGAGAGCAGGTTAGGTTTCCCTGAAGAGATCGGTTTTCAGAGATCGCCTAAAAGTGAGCAGAGTAGGCGATAGTCTGATAAATCGGGGTAGAGAGTTCCAGAGGATGGGGGAAGCTCTGGAGAAGTCCTGGAGATGAGCATGGGAGGAGGAGACAAGGGAGCTAGAGAGAAGGAGGTGGTGCGAGGAGCGGAGAGTACAGTTTGGGTGATATTTAGAGACAAGATTGGTGATGTAATTGGGGGCGGAGTTATAAATGGCTTTATATGTTATTGGTAATGTTTTGAATTTTATCCGTTGGGCAATGGGAAGCCAGTGGAGGGATTGGAAGAGAGGGATGGAGGACGCTGATTGAAGGCCAGTAGAGGGATTGGCAGAGTGGGGTGGAGAACACTGAGTGGAGGCCAGTGGAGGGATTGGCAGAGAGGGGTGGAGAACACTGAGTGGAGGCCAGTGGAGGGATTGGCAGAGAGGGGTGGAGGACACTGAGTGGAGGCCAGTGGAGGGATTGGCAGGAGGACACTGAGCGGAGGCCAGTGGAGGGATTGGCAGAGAGGGATGGAGGACACTGAGTGAAGGCTAGTGGAGGGATTGGCAGAGAGGGGTGACAGATACAGAACGGTTAGTAAGGTGGATGAGTCTGGCAGCAGCATTCAAGATAGACTGAGGGGGGATAGCCTGCGATGAGGTCGGCCAATGAGGAGGGAGTTGCAATAATCAAGGCGAGAGATAACCAGGGGGTGAATAAGTTGCTTAGTGGTTTCCAAGGTTAAGAACGGGCGTATCTTGGAGATGTTGCGGAGGTGAAGTCTTCACCCAACTAAGTATTTGTATTTCTGTCTATCCAGTCTTGACGAGCTACCATACATATGCCTAGAGTCCTATTCCCACGTTGTGACCAATAGCTCCCTGTCAGTGCCAGTGGGTCGTGTAGGCGAGGTTGGTGTTAGACTCTTTTGTGCCCTAGGCAAGGCCAGCTACTTGCACCCCCCCACCAAAAAATAAATAAAACTTCACCTGTAGTTCTACTCAGGGGTGGACTGACAACTCATGGGGCCCCCGGGCAATAGGGGATCATGGGGCCCCTGTGTCCTTGCCAAAACTCAAAAAAGCCTATGAAAAAGGTACCAGGGGCATCTCATGGGGCCCCCTACTGACCCTGGGCCCTTGGGCAGTGCCTGAGTTTCCAAATGGTCAGTCCGCCCCTGGTTCTACTTCACCTTCCCAGCGCACATCCTCCTCCCTGTCAAATTTTCAGCCCTAGCACAAATCCCACCTCCTAGCACAATATATGACCAATCACAGCAGATCACATGACAATTGGATTGCTTCCTTTCATGCCATCCATTGTATATAATTATGTTGTTTTTATTTTATTTTTTTCAGGTACTTATATAGCGCCATCAGTTTACGCAGCGCTTTACATATATATTGTACATTCACATCAGTCCCTAACCCTTAAGGACTGTACAATCTAAGGTCCCTAACTCACTTATGCATACACATACTAGGGACAATTTAGACAGCCAATTAACCTACCAGCATATCTTTGGAGTGTGGGAGGAAACTGGAGTACCCGGAGGAAACCCACACAGGCACAGGGAGAACATGCAAACTCCAGGCAGGTGATGCCATGGTTGGGAACCAAACCAACGACCATAATACTGCCAGGTTGAAGTGCTAACCAATTAGCCACTGTTAGCTGTGATTAGTCACAGCACTCACATGGTACAGACAGGGCCAATCACCGCCCATCTGTACCATGTGAGGAGCTTTTCCCAATGCCTATTTTGAAATTTGGCCGTGCTTACCCCCGATATAAAATAGTTTTCGTAGAAGATCCTCTGTGAATGGAAGCAGCCCTCATATCATCCAGATGTCCCATTGGCAAGGCAGTCACATGATACAGACAGGGCCAATCACAGCCCATTTGTATCATGTGATCAGCTTTGCCCAATCACAGCTAATCACAACAAAAGGACTGAATGAATCAGTTTAATTCGGTAAGAATGGTTGCCAATATCAATGAAATACATCGGTATTAGCAATCATAATTTTAATAAAAAAAGAAATCCTGATCACTTGCCCAGAGTAGTACAATGTTACTATGGTAACATTGTATTGCTCTGGTCACAGTGTGTTGAAAACAAAAAGTTTAAAAAAATGTAATTATTAAGAAAAAATAATAGAAAAAATTGAAAAAAAAAATTATTTTTTTTACATACTGTCATGCAGCCAGTGTCCCTGATCACCGTCATCACCAGTCATATGATGATGCTGGACTGGACTGGGGACAATATGTTTTAAAAAAAATTGTGATTTTTAAAAAAACTTTCTTCATTTTCCGAAAAATTGTGACAAAAAAATTACAACTTCAAAAAACTTGCCACACCACTTACTAAATACCGAGGGCTGTCTATTTTCCAAAAATGGGTCATTTGGGGGTATCTGTACTGTCCTGGCCTAAAGAAATGAGATTTGCCATCAGTACATCAGGATTGATCGATTGTCAGATACTGTATACAGTGAAGGAAATGTGTATTTGCTCCCCTGCTGATGTTGAATGTTCGCCCCTCACAAAGAAATGATCGGTCTAAAAAAATCGAATGTTCGGTGTAACACTGAGAGACAGAATAGCAACAACAAATTCAGCAGAAATGCGTCTAACAAATGATGACTGATTTGCATGTTCATGAGGGAAATAAGTATTTGATCCCCTATCATTCAGCAGGATTTCTGGCTACAAGGTGTCTCTCATACAGGTAACAAGCTGAGATTAGAAGCAGTCTCTTAAAGGGAGTGCTGCTAATCTCATGTTACCTGTATAAAAGACACCTGTCCACAGGAGAAATCAAACCATCAGATTCCAAACGGCTACCAAACTATGGCCAAGCAGCTTGGTGAGAAGGTGACAACAGTCGGTGCAATCATTCCCAAATGGAAGAAACACAAAACAACTGTCAGTCTCCCTAGGACCGGTGCCCCGTGCAAGATCTCCCCTCGTGGAGTGTCAATGATCATGACAACAGTGAGGAATCATCCCAGAACTACGAGTGAGGATCTTGTCAATGATCTCCGGCCAGCTGGGACCGCAGTCACCAAGAGAACAATGGGTAACACACTACGCGACAAGGACTGAAATCCGCAGTGCCCGCAAGGTCCCTCTGCTCAGGAAAGCACATGTCCAGGCCCGTCTGAAGTCTGCCACTGAACATCTGAATGATGCAGAGCAGGACTGGTGGGAAGTGTTGTGGTCAGATGAGACCAAAATCCAGCTCTTTGGCATCAACTCAACTCGCTTTGTTTGGGAGGAGGAGGAGGGACCACAGTCACCAAGAAAACAAAAGAACCAAAAGAAAGCTCTATTTATGTGCAAAAAAAATGATGATAAAACATTTTTTTGTGCATAACCGCACAATTGTCATTCAAAGTGCGACAGCGCTGAAAGCTGAAAATTGGCCTGGACAGGAGGGGGGTGAAAGTGCCCGGGATTTAAGTGGTTAACCAAGGGCGGGGGGGGGGGGCTGTCAGGCAAGCAGTGTGATTTTCTAATGGTGACCCTTCATCTGACAAGTGGCTGAAGTCTTCCCTGTAATAGAAAGCCCGAAAAATCGAAGGCACTTGATTAAAAGTTACACTGATTATGTTCTTGGACTTTAGCACAGCTGCAGTGTTTCCTGTGCAGGATTAGGGGTTCAGGTACGTTGCTCCCCAGCTGCAGTTGCTTATTACCGCTTGCCGCTGCTGCCCTATGGCAGATGTACTGGCTACAGGGGCAGCAGGGTCACTGCGCAAAATCTGTATATACAGTTGCAGAAAAAGTATGTGATCCCCTTGGGATTACGTGGAGTTTTGCATGAATTGGGCATAAAATGTGCTGTGAGTGAACGTCATCTAAGTCACAACAATAGAAGAACACAGTCTGCTGAACATTAATACTCACAAACATTAGATGATGTTGCCATGGTTTATTTGCACATAACATGTAAACATTCACAGTGCAGGGAGGAAAAAAGTATGTGATACCTTTGGACTTAATAACTGGTTGATACCCTCCTTTGGCAGCAAATAACCTCAACCAAACGTTTCCTGTAGTTGCAGAATCAGACCTGCACAACAATCTGGAGTCATTTTGGACCACTCCCTCTTCACAAAACTGTTTTTCAGTGTAGCAATATTCTTGGGATGTCTGGTGTGAATCGCTCTCTCTTAAGGTCATGCCACAGCATTTCAATCGGGGTTGAGAGTCAGGACTCTGATCTGGGGCCACTCCAGAAGGCGTATTACTGTGTGCTGTTGCAGCCATTGTTTTGTTGAATTACTTGTATGCTTTGGGTCATTGGTCCTGTTGCATCAACCAATCCTCTGCGGAGTCTTCAGTTGGCGGACAGATGGTACCGTACGTTTTTCCTGAAAAAATGTCTTGGTAAACTCTGGAATTCATTTTCCCCATCAATGACAAACATCCGTCAGGCCCCTGAGGCAGCAAAGCAGTCTCCCCCAAACCATGATGCTCCTCCGCCATGTTTCACAGTGGGGGATGAGGTTTTGATGTTGGTGTGCTGTGCCTTTTTTTTCTCCACACATAGTGTTGTGTGTTCTTCCCAACAACTCAATCTTGGTTTACTTCTGTCCTCAGTATATTTTGCCAGTAGTGCTGTGGAACATCCAGGTGCTCTTTTGCAAACTTCAAACCTGCTGCAATATTCTTTTTGGACAGCAATGGCTTCCTCCGTGGTGTCCTCCCATTGTACTCCATTCTTGTTTAATGTTTTCCTTATTGTAGATGTGTCAACAAAAATGTTAGCATGTGCCAGAGATTTCTGTAGGTCTTTAGCTGACACTCTGGGATTCTTCTTTACCTCATGCAGCATTCTGCGCTGTGCTCTTGCAGTCATTTTTTCAGGACGGACCACGCCTAGGGAGAGTAGCAACAGTGCTAAACTTTCTCCATTTGTAGACAGTCTGTGCTTAACGTGGACACATGAACATCAGGCTTTTGGAGATACTTTTGCATTAACCTTTCCAGTTTCATGCAATGTCAACAATTCTTGATCGTAGGTCTTCTGAGAGCTCTTTTCTGCGAGGCATGGTTCACATCAGACAGTGTTTCTTGAAACCAGTAAACCCAAAACAGGTGTGTGTTTTTTAAGGGGCAGGACAGCTGTCAGCAACACATCCAATATCATCACACTGATTGGAGTCAGGTTTGGCTCACTCCTGGCTCCAATTAGCTATGGGAGAAGTCATTAAGCTAGGCACCCTCACATACTTTTTCTCCCTGCACTGTGAATGTTTTACATGTTATGTGCATTAAACCATGGCAACATCTAATGTTTTGTGTAGTATTATGTTCAGCAGACTGTGTTCTTCTATTGTTGTGACTTAGATGACGTTCAGAGCACATTTTATGCCAATTCATGCAAAACTCCACGTAATCCATGGGGTTCACATACTTTTTCTTGCAAACTGTACATGATTTGGATTTTCCTGGGGTAGGGGCGCCCTCCTCGCGACCGCTATTGGCTGCTGGGGATGTTAATCACGGTCCCGACCGGGACTCGGTGATTGTCGGCAAAGCTGACAGGGGAGAGACCTGTGTATAAGCAACACAGGTCTCTCCCCTGACAGCAAAGGACATGCTGCTGTGTAGTTTCTCTCTGCACAGCATGTCTTCTAGTAAAACACAGCACACAGTTACCCCTTTGATCGCCCCAGATGTTAACCCCTTCCTGCCCAATGCCATTAGTACAGTGTCAGTGCTTTTCATAAGCACTGATCACTGTATTGGTGTCACTGGAGAGGTCAGTGACACCAAGTTAGTTCCCCCGCAGTGTCAGTGCTTTTAATTAGCGCTGATCACTGTATTGGTGTCACTGGGGATGTCAGTGGCAGTTACCCAGGCTTCACACCTAAGCGTTTTCCGCAGCGTTATGCAGAAACGCACTACAGTCCATTTCACATGATTTCCTATGGATACGTTCACAGCTCTACGTTTTCACCGGTGCGTTTTTTGGAAAGGGTTCAGGGACTTTTTTGAACACAAAAAGTTACAATTTTGGATCTATAGACTTCAATGGAAATGCTGCAGAAAAGCACGTAGTGCGTTTTTGATGCATTTTTGATGCGTTTTTTGCCATGTACTGATGCGTTTTAAGTTTTAAATCTGCCTAGCAACAAGAAAAAAAAAAAACGCAAAATGCGGCAAAGACGTGGCAAAAAATGCAAAATGCAATGCAGAAACGGATCAAATGCAAACTGCAAAAGTGTGCCTTTGTCAGTTCCCACCCAGCGTAAGAATGCCCGGCGCAGTCCTGCAGGTAATAAGTTATAAGTCGCTGATCGCCGCCATTTCCAGTATAAAAAATTTTTAATAAAAATTCCAGCATATATACCGCCATTTGTAAACGCGCTATAACTTTCACAATTAATTTACATGTATTGGGATTTTTTTTTTCTTAGCAAAGACACGGAGCAGAGTACATTTTGGCCGAAATTTTACGTATTTTATTTTTTTAAATTTTTTTACTGGACAGGTTTTATAGCAAAAAGTCAAAAATATGTGTTTTTTTTTTCAAAATAGCTTTTTTTTTTAGCAATAGTTGTAGCAGAATACATTTTGGCCTAAATTTATGAAGACATTAGATTTTTTAACATTTTTTTTTATTGGATAGGTTTTATAGAAAAAGGCAAAAATATATTGTTTTTTTTTTTCAAAATTGTCAGGTTTCTTTGTTTATAGCGCAAAAAAATAAAAACGCAGAGGTGATCACATACCACAGAAAGAAAGCTTAATTCATGGGGGGAAAAAAAAAGATGTAAATGTCATTTGGGTTGCAGTGTTGCATGACTGCATAATTTTTAAAGTAAAGCAGCGCGCATGTCACAAAAAAATGGCCTGGTCAGGAAAGGGGGGGGGGGGGAGAAATACTCTGGAAGGTAAGTGGTTAAAGTGGTTTGCAGCACCTTATCACAAGAAATGGCCTTGTCAGGATGGGGGGGGGGGAATCCTCTGGAGGGTAAGTGGTTAGAGTGCAAAAAATGGCCTTGTCAGGAAAGGGGGGGGGGGGGGGGTAAATCCTCTGGAGGGTAAGTGGTTAAAGCGTAAAAAATGGCCTTGTCAGGAGGGGGGGGGGATCCTCTGGAGGGTAAGTGGTTAAAGTGCAAAAAATGGCCTTGTTAGGAGGGGGGGAATCCTCTGGAGGGTATATTGTTGAAGCGCTAAAAATGGACTTGTCGGGGGAGGGGGGGGGGGGTAAATCCTCCAGAGGGTAAGTGGTTAAAGTGGCACAGCGCCGTATTGCAAAAAAGGGCCTTGTCAGGAGTGGGGGGTAAATTCTCTGGAGGGTAATGGGTTAAAGCGCAAAAAATGGCATTGTCATGAGGGGGGGGGGATCCTCTGGAGGGTAAGTGGTTAAAGCGCAAAAACTGGCCTTGTCAGGAGGGGAGGGGGGAGGATCCTCTGGAGGGTACGTGGTTAAAGCGCAAAAAATGGCCTTGTCAGGAGGGGGGGGGGGGGAATCCTCTGGAGAGGGCAAGTGGTTAAAGTGCAAAAAGTGGCCTTGTCAGGGTGGGGGGGGGGGGGGGGGGGAATCCTCTGAAGGGTAAGTGGGTAAAGCGCAAAAAAATGGCCTTGTTAGGAGGGGGGGATCCTCCGGAGGGTACATGGTTAAAGCACAAAAAATGGCCTTGTTGGGGGGGGGGGGGGGATCCTCTGGAGGGTACGTGGTTAAAGCGCAAAAAATGGCCTTGTCAGGAGGGGGGGGAGGAATCCTCTGGAGGGCAAGTGGTTAAAGTGCAAAAAGTGGCCTTGTCAGGAGTGGGGGGGGGGGGGGGGGGAATCCTCTGAATGGTAAGTGGGTAAAGCGCAAAAAAATGGCCTTGTTAGGAGGGGGGGATCCTCCGGAGGGTACATGGTTAAAGCACAAAAAATGGCCTTGTTGGGGGGGGGGGGGATCCTCTGGAGGGTACGTGGTTAAAGTGCAAAAAGTGGCCTTGTCAGGAGTGGGGGGGGGGGGGGGGAATCCTCTGAAGGGTAAGTGGGTAAAGCGCAAAAAAATGGCCTTGTTAGGAGGGGGGGATCCTCCGGAGGGTACATGGTTAAAGCACAAAAAATGGCCTTGTTCAGGGGGGGGGGGGGGATCCTCTGGAGGGTACGTGGTTAAAGCGCAAAAAATGGCCTTGTCAGGAGGGGGGGGGGGAGGATCCTCTGGAGGGTAAGTAGTTAAAGTGCAAAAAATGGCCTTGTCAGGAGGGGGGGGGGGGGATCCTCTGGAGGGTACGTGGTTAAACCGCAAAAAAATGGCCTTGTCAGGAGGGGGGGGGGGGGAGGATCCTCTGGAGGGCAAGTGGTCAAAAGTGGCGCAGTGCCATATCGCAAAAAAGTGGCCTTGTCAGGAGTATGGGGGGGGGGGGGGGGGGGGGAATCCTCTGAAGGTTAAGTGGTTAAAGCGCAAAAAATGGCCTTGTCAGGAAGGGGAGGGGGGAATCCTCTGGAGGGTAAGTGATTGAAGTGCAAAAAAATGGCCTTGTTGGGGTGGGGGGGGGGGAATCCTCTGGAGGGCGAGGGGTTAATTTGCCCAGAAGGTGACAAGGAGATTCCGGGGATAATGACAGCTCAGACGTGGGTTGTAGCAGATTGCACACCCCACATTCCTAATGGGTCAAAATTCGAGCGATTTTTCGTCTGAAAATCGGACCTTAGAATAATCGGGCGATTTTCGCTCTGTTGGTGGGTCAATAGCACTGGCCGATTTTCGTGGTTCCTCCCCTTTCGGGCATGTTGGAAATTTCATGAAAACGACCGATTTTTGACTCAATGACGGTCAAATCGTACGATCGTTTTTCCAAAAAGAATATGCGCCATGAGCCGTGACCTGGAAGGAACAGAAGTTTCGCCTTTTATATGGGGGTGAACTTTATGACTCGGTCGGACGATTTTCGAAATCATTGATGGCGTCATCGGATTACCGAGCGCGAACAACGTTTTAGATTTTCGGATGAAATATCGTTCGAAATTCGACCCGTGTATGGCCTGCATTAGTAAAAGGGCATGTTGTCCGCGTCCAGCCGGGGCAGAGGATGGAGTGAATGGAGCAGATTTTCCCAGAGGTGATCTGGCCGCTTTCTCTGTCTCATCGCTCCATCTGTTCCTCTAATCCTCCCTTCTCGCTGTAACGTCTTCCGGCAGAATCTGGCACTCCATCCCTATGATACATCAGTGCGCTCTGAGAACGGGTCACAACCTTCCATACGCTGCGCAATGTTACAGCAACACCACTTCTTGTGAGATTTCGCAGTTGCGATCGTCCTGTGTACAGCTTCCAAGTGTCAGTACAAAGAGAAGACACGCAGCCATTCTGCAGAGACCATTTTTTTTTGGAAGGAATCTTCCAAATGAGGCCGAGAATTCCAAATTCTGATTCGTTTTGTGTTGACCGACACGCTTCTGCTTCTAGAGGAGAGCCGACGTCACGGCCGAATCTGCCATATGTTCCATGACTTGACTGTAAAGAGAACGGGGGGGGGGGGGGGTGTTTAAGTGGGGATTGCAGTTCCGGCACCCCCAGCACTGAATTTATATGATGGTAGAGGGTGCTGGAGGGTCTATCGATGAGGGCTGCTGGGGGATCTATTGTTGCTGGCAAGTGTCTAGTATTGCTGAGGTGGATCTGTTGTTGCAGGTCATTCATTGTTGATGGGGAATCTATTGTTATTATGGGGAGGTGGTTGCCTGAGGGGTCTTATGTTCCTTTAATTGTTGCTGGAAGGGATCTACTGATGAGGGAGGGGGTCTTCTGTTACTGGCTGCTTGAGGGTCTATTGATGCTGGATACTGAAAGATCTATTGTTGCTGGCATTTGCCTATTGTTGCTTGGGTGGATCTATTGACTCTGGAGGGTATTTTGTTTCTGGAGGGGTCTATTGTTGCTGGCTGCTTGAGGGTCTATTGATGCTGGATACTGAAAGATATATTGTTGTTGGCATTTGTCTATTGTTGCTAGGGTGGATCTATTGACTCTGGATAGGAGTTTTTCCTGACACCCCAATAGGAGCCCACCTGACTCCTGGACCGAGACCCCCCATCTCCTGGCTGGGGGTCCTCGGACCCTTGAGTGAAACTTTCTGTCCCCCGACTCCCTGTAGGGTTTCTTTGACCCTGGTTGACACCTTCTGTCTCCCGATTCCTGGCTGGGGGTCCTCCAAACCTTGGGTAAAACCCTTCTCTCCCCTGACTCCTGGTTGGGGCTCCATAACCCCTGGGTGACACCTTCTGTCTCCCGATTCCTGGCTGGGGGTCCTCTGACCCTTGGGTGAAACCTTCTGTCCCCTGATTACTGGCTGGGGAACCTCTGACCCTTGGGGTGAAACCTTCAGTCCCCCAACTCCTGGTTGGGGCTCCCTAACCTCTGGGTGACGCCTTCTGTCTCCCGATTCCTGAGTGGGGCTCCTCTGACCCTTGGGTGAGACCTTCTGTCTGCAAAACTGGGAGCCCGAGGCTTGAGTATTATAATGACCCTGCACAACTTGGTACTCACACAACCTGCAGGCACTCAGTGTTAAACCCGGCCACAGGATTGAAGGTTCCATTCCACCCAAGACACTTTGGAACCTTCAAGCTCCAGGCCCCCGATCCCCGATCCAGGACCACGGACTCCAGAGAGAAAACCAAAAACACAGCTTTCCCTGCTCAGAAACGATAGTGTGGAATTTTGCATTGACCCTTAATGCGAATCCTGTGTCATTTTCTCCTACATTTCCAGTCTGTAAGGGCCTCGCACAGTCACACTTGATAACCCGACCAGGGGCGGACTGACCATTTGGAAACTTGGGCACTGCCCGAGGGCTCGGGGTCAGTAGGGGGCCCCATGAGATGCCCCTGGTACCTTTTTCATCAGCTTTTTTGAGTGTGGGCAAGGACACAGGGGCCCCATGATCCCCTATTGCCCGGGGGCCCCATGAGTTGTCAGTCCGCCCCTGCATAGCAGCAAATGTGTTTGTGACGTTTAGCCATTTTTTTATTCTTTAACACCTACAAACTTTAGTCCTTTTCAGTTTCGTGAATGTTCAGTGTCAGATTCATGTTCAGTAGAAAAAGTATTTTATGAAATATTTCCAAGTTAGTTTTATATAACCCAAGAAGGTGAAAATGTCACTTTTATTATGTTTTGCCGCGAGGATCCTCCGCATCTTCTTCAGCAAGCTGACCTCTTGACTTGAGCATAAAAAAAAAATTGTTTGTTGTCCAAAAATATTGGCTTGCCTGCTAGGCTGAGCTGTTTAACATCAAAATGAGTATGTGTGTTGTCTTCTCCGGTGAAAGCCTTGGCCATGGAACCTGACAGCTCTCTAGCTGGGAGCCTGGGCTTGTATTGTACTTGGATGTTTTTGAATCTCCTGTTTAGGATCTGTGAATGTTTGATCATTGTGGGCTGCACTGAAGACAAGAATATGTGTGTTGCGTAATACACAATGGCTTATCTTCATCTTGAAAACATCAGGGTCATGGAGAGATCACCGTCCTCCTTCAGGAAAGAGGCAGCCCAGGCCAGTTTTAGAAGACTGTGTTTAAAGCTGAACTCTAGGAAAACAGTTGACTACACATTTCATATGCATGTCTGTCCAGTTCTAGAATTTACCTAGATCTGCCAGACAGCAAAGCCAGGTTGGTGGCCTATCTTTCCTCTACTGCAGGGGTCTCCAGACTTCACAAACAAAGGATCAATTTACTGTTCTTCAGACTTTGAGGGTGCTTGACTGTGACCAGTGTGAGTAGAAAATGCCCTGGGAGTAAACAATGCCCTGCCATTGTCGGTATCAGTGGGAGGAATGGTGCCCCATTGTCAGTATCAGTGGGAGGAATGGTGCCCCATTGTCAGTATCAGTGGGAGGAATGGTGCCCCATTGTTGGCATCAGTGGGAGAAATAGTGACCTATTGTTGGTATCAGTGGGAGGAATGGTGCCCCATTGTCAGTATCAGTGGGAGGAATGGTGCCCCATTGTTGCATCAGTGGGAGAAATAGTGACCTATTGTTGGTATCAGTGGGAGGAATGGTGCCCCATTGTCGGTATCAGTGGGAGGAATGGTGCCCCATTGTCGGTATCAGTGGGAGGAATGGTGCCCCATTGTCGGTATCAGTGGGGGAGGAATAGTGCCCCATTGTTGTTATCAGTGGGAATAATGGTGCCCCATTGTTGGTATCAGTGAGAGGAATGGTGCCCCATTGTTGGTATCAGTGGTAGGAATAGTGCCCCATTGTTGTTATCAGTGGGAATAATAGTGCCCCATTGTCGGTATCAGTGGGAGGAATGGTGCCCCATTGTTGGTATCAGTGGGAGGAATAGTGATCTATTGTTGGTATTAGTGGGAGGAATGGTGCCCTGTTGTTGGTATCAGTGGGAGGAATAGTGCCCCATCATTGGTGTCAGTGGGAGGAATGGTGCCCCATTGTTGGTGTCAGTAGGAGGAATGGTGCCCCATTGTTGGTATCAGTGAGATGAATGGTGCCCCATCATTGGTGTCAGTGGGAGGAATAGTGTCCCATCATTGGTATCAGTGGGAGGAATAGTGCCCCATCATTGGTATCAGTGGGAGGAATAGTGCCCCATCATTGGTATCAGTGGGAGGAATAGTGCTCCATCATTGGTATCAGTGGGAGGAATAGTGCCCCATCATTGGTGTCAGTGGGAGGAATAGTGCCCCATCATTGGTATCAGTGGGAGAATAGTGTCCCATCATTGGTATCAGTGGGAGGAATAGTGCCCCATCATTGGTGTCAGTGGGAGGAATAGTGCCCCATCATTGGTATCAGTGGGAGGAATAGTGCCCCATCATTGGTGTCAGTGGGAGGAATAGTGCCGCATTGTTGGTATCAGTGGGAGGAATGGTGCCCAACTGCTTGTTTCAGTGGTGGTGGTGGGGGAGGGAGTGCTTTGTGTCCGTGGCAGGAATAGTGCCTCAGGGGCCAGATAAAGGTAAGAAAAGTACAGCATCTGGGCCCCTGGGATGCAGTTTGGAGACCACTGTTCTGTTGCAATTAAGAAATGCAGTGTGTTCACCTCCCAATCCTCAGCCTGTGAATTTAGAGTGAAGGACTAATGAAATTCTCCATCTCACCTCCTGTAAGCATGTCCCTTGTCAGCGTATTTGTGTGCAGAAAACCTGTTTGAGTTTCCCCAAATCAGATGGACCTCAGACACTTTATTAACCCCTCGCCTACTGTAGACTTTCACCCCCTTCCCATCCAGGCCAATTTTCAGCTTTCAGCGCTGTCACACATTGAATGACCATTGCGCGGTCATGCAAACACTGTACCCATATGAAATTGTTATCATTTTTTTCACACAAATGGAGCTTTCTTTTGGTGGTATATAATTACCACTGGGGTGGGTGTTTTTTTTTTTCACTATAAATGAAAAAAAAAAGTGAACATTTTGAAAAAAAAAAAGGTTTTCTTTGTTTCTATTATAACATTTTGCAAACGGGTAATTTTTCTCCTTCACTGATGTGCGTTGATGAGGCTGAACCGATAGGCAGCACTGATGGGCACTGATGAGGCTGCACTGATGAGTCAGCCCTGGTGGGCATTGATGAGGAGGCACTGATGCTGCTGCACTGATATGCGGCACTGATAGACACTGATAGGCGGCACTGAAGGGCACTAATAGGTAGCACTGAAGGGCACTGACTGGCAGCACTGACTGATGGAACTGACTGGTGACATTGATAGGGGGCACTGACTGGCTACACTGATGAGGCAGCACTGATGAGGCAGCACTGGTGGGCATTGATGAGGAGGCACTGATGATGCTGCACAGATATTCGGCACTGATGGGCACGGATAGGCAGCACTGAAGGGCACTAATAGGTAGCACTGAAGAGCACTGACTGATGGAACTGACTGGTGACAATGATAGGTGGCACTGACTGGCTGCACTGACAGGCACAGATTGGCACCACTGCTGGGCAGCACTTTTGAGAACTGATGGTAAGCACTGTTGGACACTGATGGGCAGCACTGCTGAGCAGCACTGTTGGACACTAATGGGCAGCACTGTTGGCCACTTTTTGGGCTGCACTGATTATCAGTGCCCTGATTATCAGTGCAGATATCTGCCTTGAAAGTTGCCGGTTACTGGCAGTACTTTCCTCACGCTGTAACAACATAAGTACTGCCGATAACTGGAAAATGTATTTACATAGTGGCCAGCTGTGATTGGATACAGCTGATCACGTTGCCAAAGGCCGCAATGATTGGCCTTTTACCATGCCATGTGATCAGCTGTGTCATATGACGCCCTCCCAGACTTGGACTACCACTCTGCAGTCATCGTCTGGCTATAGCGTGGCAGTAAAGTGGTTAAATAACGCCCTCTATGAAGCTCTATCATCACCTCTAGAATGGTTCTCTCACCCAACAGATGGACCTCAAACCCTTTCATGAAAAAATGTCCTCTGTATAATCAGACCAGTAGCTATAGCAGTGGAGCAGCACCCACCAAAATGGGACAGGTATACAAGCGGGTCACCCTGGCGGATGATGTGGGTTCACCTGAGGTTTGGGGTCTAAGTACCAACCAGTGTTCACCAGAGCTCCTGATGGTGGAGATGGGTTTTGCTGGGTGGTCCTCGGGATCGCCCCACCGGGGGGTTGGGGGTGCCTAGGTCAGCTACCAAGCAATTGAAGAGGTGTACCTAATAAAGAGGCTGGTGAGTATATTGTAATATATATATATATATATATATTGTTATTAGGGTCCATTCATAAAATGCATACTGTGGTGTAGAACCTCTCTACTTAATACGTCAGTGCTATTGCCGTCATCAGTGGTGTAATTAGGTTTTGTGCTGACCTAGGCAACACAAAAATTGGACCCCCTCCCTGCAGAGAGAGTCTAACATTGACCAAAAATACCCCTGCCCACCCAAGAGAGCCTTCCACTAACACACATATCCCCCCCGAGAGAAAGTCACTCACCTTCACAGCTCCGGACATCTCTGGGAACGAGAGTCGGGCTCTGCATGCACCATCAAGCAGTCCACAGCCTCTCTCGACTCCCACCTGATCCCCATGCCGCAAGTGTCCCTTCTTCCAGGGGGTGGTGCTGCCCCCCTGAAAAATGCTGCCCTAGGCAAATACCTTGTTTGCTTTGTGGTAAATACGACCCTGCCCTTCATCATTACATTTTGAGAGCAGAGTTCTGTGCCGATGATGCCCTGCACTCACATTGTGTCCCAGTCTTCTGGGTTGAGGGACACCCAGGTGAGATCTGTTTTCATAGCTACTTTTTAATTTGAACCCCTGCTGGGGTACCAGTGCGTTGGGTTTTAGATCCTAACTATACAGGGTAAGTGTTTTACTGCAGTGTGAAAAAGATTTGTGATAATGAGTATATGGATATTATAGGTTTGACTGTCACACCACCCAACATCTCCGTCCTTCTTTACTACATTTTATCACAGCTTCGTCCTGTACAGCAGATGTTGGCTTCTTTATTGTGCTTGCAGCAGCTGTTTGGCATGCATCGGTGTTGTGATTTTAGGAAATAAATGGCATTCTTTGCAGGGAATATATTTCACAATGACACAGGTGCTTTGCCTGTACATCTGCACTTGTTTCCAGTTTTTATGATGTTTGGATGGAGAACGTGCACTCCTAAATGACCATATATCACAAGATGTAGACACACCGGTGGGATCTGACAAACGCATGCTTTGGCTTTATTGTCTTTGCGGAGCCATGAAAAATGAATTAAGGGTGCTGGTTGACATTTGGCCTAAATATACAACCTTGGGTGAAAACATCCACTTCTTGGGGTGTCATCTGAGCCCTCAATCTTAAAGAGACCCTGTCACCAGAACATCATCATCATCATTTTATCAAACATCTTCCTATAACAATATATTGCATGTGCATTTAGTGTATTTCATGACAGTTATTTACCTGTACAACCCTCC